CGACCCTTATTTTGGCGATCAGACGAAGCCTTGGGGCACTTTTGACGCGCCCCGTCCTTTAAGGGACGATTAAGGGATGAGGGATAGGAGCCACAGGTCTGGAACCTTCGACTGAAGTTAGATATTGACCTGAGGAATCGATTGCGACCCTTATTTTGGCGATCAGACGAAGCCTTGGGGCACTTTTGACGCGCCCCGTCCTTTAAGGGACGATTAAGGGATGAGGGATAGGAGCCACAGGTCTGGAACCTTCGACTGAGGTTAGATATTGACCCGAGGAATCGATTGCGACCCTTATTTTGGCGATCAGACGAAGCCTTGGGGCACTTTTGACGCGCCCCGTCCTTTAAGGGACGATTAAGGGATGAGGGATAGGAGCCACAGGTCTGGAACCTTCGACTGAGGTTAGATATTGACCCGAGGAATCGATTGCGACCATTATTTTGGCGATCAGACGAAGCCTTGGGGCACTTTTGACGCGCCCCGTCATTTAAGGGACGATTAAGGGATGAGGGATAGGAGCCACAGGTCTGGAACCTTCGACTGAAGTTAGATATTGACCTGAGGAATCGATTGCGACCATTATTTTGGCGATCAGACGAAGCCTTGGGGCACTTTTGACGCGCCCCGTCCTTTAAGGGACGATTAAGGGATGAGGGATAGGAGCCACAGGTCTGGAACCTTCGACTGAGGTTAGATATTGACCCGAGGAATCGATTGCGACCCTTATTTTGGCGATCAGACGAAGCCTTGGGGCACTTTTGACGCGCCCCGTCCTTTAAGGGACGATTAAGGGATGAGGGATAGGAGCCACAGGTCTGGAACCTTCGACTGAGGTTAGATATTGACCCGAGGAATCGATTGCGACCCTTATTTTGGCGATCAGACGAAGCCTTGGGGCACTTTTGACGCGCCCCGTCCTTTAAGGGATGTCCGTGAAGTTAGCGTCAGCAATAGCAACGAATACAGCGTCGGATTCAGAATCGCTTCAAAAACTGCCATCAGGTCAATTGGGGGACGGGGAACACGAATATGACATTTATTTTGCCCTAGCTCCCTTCCTTCATCCCTTAATCGTCCCTTAAAGGACGGGGCGCGTAAAAAGTGCCCCAAGGCTTCGTCTGATCGCCAAAATAATGGTCGCAATCGATTCCTCGGGTCAATATCTAACCTCAGTCGAAGGTTCCAGACCTGTGGCTCCTATCCCTCATCCCTTAATCGTCCCTTAAAGGACGGGGCGCGACAAAAGTGCCCCAAGGCTTCGTCTGATCGCCAAAATAATGGTCGCAATCGATTCCTCGGGTCAATATCTAACCTCAGTCGAAGGTTCCAGACCTGTGGCTCCTATCCCTCATCCCTTAATCGTCCCTTAAAGGACGGGGCGCGTCAAAAGTGCCCCAAGGCTTCGTCTGATCGCCAAAATAATGGTCGCAATCGATTCCTCGGGTCAATATCTAACCTCAGTCGAAGGTTCCAGACCTGTGGCTCCTATCCCTCATCCCTTAATCGTCCCTTAAAGGACGGGGCGCGACAAAAGTGCCCCAAGGCTTCGTCTGATCGCCAAAATAATGGTCGCAATCGATTCCTCGGGTCAATATCTAACCTCAGTCGAAGGTTCCAGACCTGTGGCTCCTATCCCTCATCCCTTAATCGTCCCTTAAAGGACGGGGCGCGTCAAAAGTGCCCCAAGGCTTCGTCTGATCGCCAAAATAATGGTCGCAATCGATTCCTCGGGTCAATATCTAACCTCAGTCGAAGGTTCCAGACCTGTGGCTCCTATCCCTCATCCCTTAATCGTCCCTTAAAGGACGGGGCGCGACAAAAGTGCCCCAAGGCTTCGTCTGATCGCCAAAATAATGGTCGCAATCGATTCCTCGGGTCAATATCTAACCTCAGTCGAAGGTTCCAGACCTGTGGCTCCTATCCCTCATCCCTTAATCGTCCCTTAAAGGACGGGGCGCGTCAAAAGTGCCCCAAGACTTCGTCTGATCGCCAAAATAAGGGTCGCAATCGATTCCTCGGGTCAATATCTAACCTCAGTCGAAGGTTCCAGACCTGTGGCTCCTATCCCTCATCCCTTAATCGTCCCTTAAAGGACGGGGCGCGTCAAAAGTGCCCCAAGGCTTCGTCTGATCGCCAAAATAATGGTCGCAATCGATTCCTCGGGTCAATATCTAACCTCAGTCGAAGGTTCCAGACCTGTGGCTCCTATCCCTCATCCCTTAATCGTCCCTTAAAGGACGGGGCGCGACAAAAAAGCCCCAAGGCTTCGTCTGATCGCCAAAATAATGGTCGCAATCGATTCCTCGGGTCAATATCTAACCTCAGTCGAAGGTTCCAGACCTGTGGCTCCTATCCCTCATCCCTTAATCGTCCCTTAAAGGACGGGGCGCGTCAAAAGTGCCCCAAGGCTTCGTCTGATCGCCAAAATAATGGTCGCAATCGATTCCTCGGGTCAATATCTAACCTCAGTCGAAGGTTCCAGACCTGTGGCTCCTATCCCTCATCCCTTAATCGTCCCTTAAAGGACGGGGCGCGACAAAAGTGCCCCAAGGCTTCGTCTGATCGCCAAAATAATGGTCGCAATCGATTCCTCGGGTCAATATCTAACCTCAGTCGAAGGTTCCAGACCTGTGGCTCCTATCCCTCATCCCTTAATCGTCCCTTAAAGGACGGGGCGCGTCAAAAGTGCCCCAAGGCTTCGTCTGATCGCCGAAATAATGGTCGCAATCGATTCCTCGGGTCAATATCTAGCCTCAGTCGAAGGTTCCAGACCTGTGGCTCCTATCCCTCATCCCTTAATCGTCCCTTAAAGGACGGGGCGCGTCAAAAGTACCCCAAGGCTTCGTCTGATCGCCAAAATAAGGGTCGCAATCGATTCCTCGGGTCAATATCTAACCTCAGTCGAAGGTTCCAGACCTGTGGCTCCTATCCCTCATCCCTTAATCGTCCCTTAACCCGCGCCCCACTGGGGGGGGCTATTTATAGCCCCCCTCCCGTTTTTCTGCAACTGAAACCGAATCGTCCTATAAGTGAATCATTGAGGATTCCGCACCCCTGGCTCACGTGGTTCAGGGTGCTGATGTTGGTAGTTGACGTTTTCGCCGATTCACTCAGCCTGCCACGGCGCGGCCGACAGGGGCACTGTCAGAACCCCTTCTCGTCCCGGCAGCAGGAGATCAGTAGAAAGCCGACCAGAAACCTGCCAATGGAACGGCGGCCGGCCGATTCGTGATAACGCACGTCTCACACCCTGCCGTGCTAGCTAGGTATTGACTCGAGTTCAGACACCATCCCAGTCTAATGCGGCGAAAGGACTGGGCACTATAGACGGCGGCTGCCGGCCAGAAAAAAACATCGATCCAGTCAAATATGCCAGAAAAAGTCAAATAATGCCGCAGCTCACATTACTAGTGGATACAATTCAACAGCGATCATACTAAGTACTAACGGTAACAATGCTAAGCGAAGCGGTAAATCATCTATCACATTGGAGACCTGCAGCGTCATACCAAAAGCCGGCACCAGTTTTGATTGGAATTTAGACTGCTCCTGCCTCCAGCCCAGCGGGTAGATACCGGATGATCTCTTAAATAAAATCAGTATGTACCTACGGTTTTAAGTGACGCTGGAACCTGTCGCTTACCTCTTGAAAACTCTACAGGAATAATTAGGCTATATAATAGTTGTATTCACTTTATCAATTAAAATAACCAGCAAAAGAAATGGCAATTTACTTACAGCGGCGCCACTAGATGGCATTAGTGATAAACGCCTGGATGGTATACTGTTCCGCAACGCTTAGGATCCCGCCCAGAGATGGCAGCACTAGTTTACGCCTGACAGGTATGCTGTACCGCAGGGCGGGAAATCGCGGTTCGGCGAAAACCACGTGAATAATCTGTCGCCGCGATCGCAAGTAATGACATTATCAATATTTTGACGAAGGGAACAACAAACCAATACACCTGAGACCGCTAGAAAGGTGACTTTCCGTGATTTGACGTGAGTCATGACTCATGAGTGAATGTGCAAATGTTATGAATTAGATTAGCAACCGCGGATACGGATTCTGAACATTAATCGCCAGCATTTGGAATGTTGATCGCTCTCAAATGTAAATACAATACAATACAATACAACACAGCACAACTTCTCAGACAAGTTATCCAAAATCAACGCCGCAGTCGGCACGGGGCACCATCGCGGTCGACTGCGGATACACTTACCCAAGGCTATATAACACTTACCAGAGGACGGGATTACAGAAGATACTGATGGGCACCAGCGCCTCCCTCCAGGAGATCATGTCGGCGTCGGTGCGGTTGCGCGCCGAGTACGCCCCGAAGCTGTCAAAGCCGCCCATCCACCCGCGGATCATGGGTGCCGGTGGCCGCACGGCGGGACGGCCCGCTCTGCTCTGAGGGACGGACCGCCGCGTCGGCCGGCGCCCGGCGGCGGAGGGCCACTCGTCTCGAGCCGCGCGGCACGCCGCTCAGCAGCGCTGACCGCCACTCCACGGCCGCCGATACGGCGCGCGGCTTTGTGAGGTCCGCCGACACAGCAGCCGGCGCGGCCGGCCGTCAGCGGACGCAGAATAGCCCCGGCGCAGTGTAATCCGCCGGCTGGTCAGCACAGCGCGTCAGCAGAGCCGCCGCTCCGGATTACGCTGTCAGAGGATCTGCAGACGCAATGCGCCGCGGAAGGCCCCGGTCCGTCACGGCATGACGTAATGATCGACCGGTGCCATGGAGGTCAGATCGGCGCAGCTTGGGACCCTCGCTGCTTGAACCGAGGTGAGAAGACAGAGGCCAAAGCTCCTCAAAACCCGTTAACAGGTCAACCATGCACGAGCATTTTCATGTCCTCGCAGCGCGGCGGAACATGACATAACATGTTCCGTATCAAAGCTAGAAAGGTGCGAGCAATCAGCCAATTCATCGATGCATGGATTTATTCGCAAAGCTTCAGCTTACGCAGAAAGTAAAATAATATTCGATATATTCGAGCACTTTATTTCACGAACAATCCGTCAGGGTGGCATATTTTTAGCCATTCACTAAATGGTCGAACTGAGCAATTCTTCAGCGAATGGTTTGACCTCAGCGGCATAAGGCTCAGCAAACTGAAGACCTCAGGACCATGGGACTCAATAAGGTCACACCAGCATAGGGACAGTTCGACGGACAGCACGGAGCGAGATCACCAAGCCTGAAGAGCCACGGACAGAGTTTTTAATACTGGTGCAATGTGAGATAGCTCTGAAGACGGCAACGTGACTGCAGTGCGAAACGGCGGGACCACTGTAATTACGGGCAACATCGGTAGCGAGGGTGAACATTCGGGATGTGGACGGTGGGGTGAGTGGCAATTACCGGTTACAACACCGGAACAATTCCGCAGCCTCGTAGGTAACATAGCTACGGGCCTCCCCACAAAACCATCACATGACGACCATTTCTGGCAGATGAGTTGTAGATCGCCTCAGCCACTTTTTATGCTACAATACCCATCACTCCCAAATGATATAAAAGCCTACAAAACGGTGCATTTTTACAAAATGAGGAGTGGCAAAATGGCGAATGAGGTAGCAAAACGAAAGGCTTCTTCAGCTTTTTCTCGAAAAAAGAAACACAAAAAAAACCATAAAAACACGTCGTTTCCCGATACCAACACAATTATCGGAGCCGACTAGTTTTTGCCGGAGGACCCGAAGCCGCCGTGGCCGCGCTGGGTCTCATCCAGTGCCTGCACCTCCTCGATGTCCGGATAGAAGATGCGCTCCAGGATCAGCTGCGCCACGCGGTCGCCCTGCTTCACCTGCAGCTCCTCCCGGCCGTGGTTGAACATGACGACGCCCACGTTGCCGCGGTAGTCGCGATCGATGACGCCGGCGCCGATGTCGATGTGCTGTTTCCATGCGAGCCCGGAGCGCGGCGCCACGCGGCCGTAGCAGCCCTCGGGTAGCTGCACCTGAATGTCGGTCTTGACCAGCGCCTTGCCCTGCGCCGGCACCGTGCAGTCGTGCGCGCTGTATAGGTCGTAGCCGGCAGCGTCCTTGGAGCCGCGCTTGGGCAGGATGGCGCTGGCCGAGAGCCGCACGCAGCGCAGCACTGGCCGGCCAGCAGCCGTCGCCATCTTCTTCGGCGATGGAGACTCGCAGGGGGAGCTGCGCACGTTCTGGTTCACCTCGGTCAATACAGACGCCGACATTTCTGCAAACATAAAGACAAGCAGCAAATATGATAGCTATAAGCTTGCTAACCACACTACTGGAAAGTTTAATACCTAACCCTGACCACTATTGCATCCTTAACCCTCGCCAGCCAAGGGGGGGTGCCACAGCCACCCCCATAGGGTTTTTTATAAACAGAGTTGTCAATAACTTAATTCAACAACTTAATTCAACAACAATGCCTTTTTCCATATATTCAAGACTTCAAGACTTCAAGACTTCAACTTACTAAGCTTCACTGCTGACTGTGTTAACCCACGAGCCGCTGGGGGGGGGGGCATAAAGTTGCCCCCCCTTTACGTTTTGTGAAATATCTCCGAAAGCTGATGAGCTGCGAACGTGAAACTTGGCATAGCTTCAAATGAATACCTAGGCAATGTTTGAGGAAAGTTTTGTGGTCGTAGCACCTAAGATGACGTCACAGTGACGTCATAAAGTTTTGTCGTTTTCCGATATAGACCATTTCTGATGACGCTGAGCATGAAACTCGACTGTAAATGAACTAGACAGCACCTGCTGTCATCCTAAAACATCTAACTACACTTCCATCTAGTTTCTGACCAATAATCGGCCCTTTATATTCGGTCCCATATATCTGATGTATTGTGAGGAATATGAGAGTCGCAAATCTATAATTTCACTTATGACGTCACTGTGACGTCATTTCAAATGGGATCGACACCAAATTTGGACACAACCTCGGCTAGGTATTCAGAAAGATGTGTGCAAAGTTTCGCTTCTCTATCTCTTCGCGTTGCGACGATATCGTCGCAGAAGTAAAGGGGGGGCAACTATATGCCCCCCCCAGCGGCCGGCGGGTGGCGCGGAGGCCCAGCGGCCGCCGGGTTAAGCTTCCTTATTGTCCAAGTTCAAAGGTTACCTAGCTCAGGATGTTAGGCCAAGGGTTATACTGTGGTGCTACCCATACCCCCTTGCATCATTGAAAATTGGCTCACGCCTCAGTGCACCCAGCTGGCTGCATGGTGTGGTGGTTAGGGTGCCTGCCTGGCGCCTCGTGATTGACTGGCTGACGGTTCGCAGCTGGCTACCCGCAGGTATTTTTGGCCTGTTGGTCTGTTGGTAGGTTGTGGATTGTAGGTTTACAGGTTGAAGATTAGGTTAGGTCAGGTTAGGTTAGTTTTTGTTTGGTTAGAAAGGAGCATCTCCTGGTATAGCACCTCTCCTTGGCTGCAAAAACCAAACACCTTTGCTTAAAGGGAAAATCTGCTCAACCAAGTCCAAAACTAGCTCAAAGCTGAAATGTTAAGGAATGTTGATAAACACAACATGGAAAACATGCCCGAAAAATAGTACCTACCTACCTATATAGCGCCAGTGCAAGTGTATCTTTGAATCGATCAATTCTCACCTTAGAATAGGAGTAACAACAGGTATTTTTCTTTAAAGCAATAACTTGAACTATAAAAACGTTCAAGTTCTAACGAGGAACAGCACACAGACACGATCCGTCCAGTCCAGCTACAGGCTACTTCCAACTTCCCTTTTGCTTCTCCCGCTTGATATAAAAGATCTGCTCCCGCTGATTCTTCTTGCCCAAGGCCCAAGGCTTCTTGCCTATCCCGCGCGCGCGATTCCTTCGCATTTCCCGCCAAATTTTGGAAACACCACCGATAGTTGTTGTAGATCGATCCCAGCTTTCAAGACAGGCTTCACCTCTCGTACTAGAAATTGGACACTATTCAACTCTCAATAAATCGAAAAGTGCGAAAGTCAACTTTAACCCATGTACTCACGTTACATCTAAATTATCGTGATTTCGGTGATTTCCTATTCATCCGGTGCCATGGTCAGAAAAGTGATGGGAAACGCATTGCCCTTTGAAAGGGAAACGCCTAAAATGCTGCCTATTTATTGATCACGACATATTAGTTTCCATTTTGACCTTGCCGTTGATTCATGATTCATCAACGTAATTTACGAACCAATTTCGTATTTTACTGTACGTTTGATCCAAATATTAACCAACGCTGAATTCTCCGTTTGCTATGATTGCTAGTGTAGGTAAGTAAAAACATAAGTTAAATTCATAAGCTGGCTGCAAAGTAAAGAAATAACATTCGCCACAATTGTCGACGAGATCAATCGAGTGAGGACTAATTTTACTGTGGATTTATTTCAGACATATGACGTCATGAAACTCTACGCTTCTGCTAGCGATTTTTCCCAGTAATTTTCTAGCAAGTATAATGATGATCGTCCATTGGTGGATATCAGTCCTTTCATCCCTTCGATCCAATTACGAATGTCTTGGTTCTGGCATAATGATACGCTATGACCTTGTTCAAAGCACGCCTCAGCCTCTTTGCAAGTTTTCTGATATTTATTCAATACTGAGTTGAAATTGTTGTAAGGGGGCTGGGGGGATTTGCACTTATACGAGCATATTGTGCAGGATATCCTTTGCCCTTCTGGTTTCAACCTTAATTTACGTCCTTGCGCCAGAAGTTTGTCAATCTCTGGAGGTAGGGCTTTTATTTATGTTGTATTCCAGGTTTTTTTTTTTGCACATTAGCCTTAGTAGGTTAATCAAATCATATTTATTTGTTTTAATGGTTATGATGTACGGTTCTCCAGTAAAAGTCTTGTTGGTTTTGCTTTTTCGGACATATCTGGTCCTATACAATGTTCAAATGCATAAGTATCAACCCGAATTATGTGTATGCACATTTACCACGAGACTGTGAAATTGCATCGTTGTATGCCAAATACTTTCCGAGATATTCACCAAAAACCTCATTTTCTGCCGTTTGGGGTATTCTGGCCGCAATCTTCCTGGGGTCGCCTATGACATCAGTAGAGCCATCTAACGAGAGGAACGCGGAAACACAGAATCATGAATGAATCGAGTGCGTAGTAAACGGTGTATGAAAGGGAGACTCGGCAGAGGCTATCCGGGTGGCCGGCGCGCGGCGCGCCCTCAGGCATCGGCCGAACCTTCGGACCGCGTGGGGTCAGAGGTCGCGCTCGGGAAGTCTTGGCTCTGGGTTTCAGCGCTGTGCAGTCAGGAAGGGACCATAGGATAGCGCTAGCCCGACTGACTACATGTAGTATCTCGGCTGATTCGTGTGGGGTGAAGGGAGCACAGAACGGGATGGTGGCTAGTGGTGGATGATGGGATGGTGGTTAGGTCAGTGCGTACTGCGTAGAGCGTAGCTGAACATGCATTTTTTTCATCGCAAACAACATGCAGCGTAATGTGCGGGATTATGCCAGAACTCATACAAAAAGGAAATATCATTTCGGCCAAGGGAGTGGATGAGTGCCGCGAAAAAGCATGACGATGCTGCCAAAATCGGGATGCTTTTTTGCCCCCATTTTTTTACCCCTAACATGCAGCGCTTGATCCGAACTTTTTTTTTATAAATTTAGCTCGAATGTTTGAATGGACGGATTGACAGAGCCGGAGCCCACGCTAAGCAGAGCTTGTTGCGTAGACCCCGACCCCTACCGTCCGATCGCGCAATTCCGGGTAACGGGAGAATTTAGATGCCAAAGTTTAACGTGCCCTTCAAAGCCGGACACGGCCTGTCCCACTCAACTGACTTCAACTGGCTGCGGCTGCTCCCACCAACCGCAGACCATCCCCGTCAGGAGTCTCGTATATCGAGCGCCGGAGCGTCTCGAACCCGGGCTCTCACTACCGGGAGTCCGATGCTCTACCAACTGAGCTACGGAACTTAGAGGTCCCCGACTGACCTTAGACCTTAAAATAGCACCCGGCCGGTGCGCCACCTTTTCTTCAGGGGCGCTCTTCTTGGTTGTATCTGTTCTTACCAATAACTAAAGCAAATCGAATGTATAATAAGAAGGCATACCTCAAACACAGTTTTATTCAAATCCCCTCGTGTGCATACTTGTTTTGAACTATACCTTCTCGCATCATAATATATCACTTCAGTGCTTAATCCTCAACGGAATTTTGGGTTTTCTGCATATACCCCGGCCGAGGGGAGGGGGGGGGGGCGATTACGACCCCTCTCCGTCTTTTTGCCCCTAATTGAGCTAGCGCCTTGCGGATGAAACTGAGCGGGTGCGTCGTATGAGATGCAGCAACTGGTACCCGAGTTGAATGTCTCAGGTCAACCGATTAACTCTGAGGTCAGTATAAGTGCTGGCCAAGTCGCGGGATCGGTTTTTGGTAAACAACTTTACCATAAGTGGTTACAGAGCCAAGACAATGGCACCATCGAGTTTTGCATGCTCAAGCGCGTCGAATAGTAAACGCTTTGTTTTTGTTGAGGTCAATTTAAGGTGTTCACCTCAGGTCATGTCAGGGCAGAGCCACTCAGGCCACGAGGCTGGTTCAAGGAGGTCATATCGCTTCTTCGATTCGGTAGGTCCTCACAAGTCCACTGGTGGCTTCACGACTCGCTGGCTCAATTTGATCGAGACTTTTTGGTGAAAACTCCTGTGACCTTAGTGACGTCATAAATGAAGTCGCCTAACTTTAAGAATGGAAAAGTGAATGCTGGGGCTTGCTAAGATTGTATAAAATCCCGAATTAATGCGCTTGCGACAGCTTAAGATGGCTCCCGGCGCCAAAATAACAGCTTTCATATTTCCCAATTGACTAATAATCGTGAGGTTGCGTGACCGACCTGACTTCAGGTGACTCTTGAGAAAAATACGAGATAGCTACATACAAGTTGTGAGGCCTCTGGGAGATATGTGACATATTATATTATATCTCCGGGAGATAGTACTAGATCATATAAGCTTCATTCCCCGTTGAAAAGTCCCCTGGCACGAAGGGTGCTGCGACGTCGCGACATTTTGGGACCTTACAGAGGTTCACTTTTGACGTCATTGGTCAACGGCCTGACCTTAACCTTCGCACTTGTAGGAGGGTGTCGAACAGACCTCCTACCCTCAGTTTTTCGCAAATAACTCGCGCAAAAAGCGGCTGATTGCGACGACACTTTTAGTACCCTCGAGTTAATCAATATTACGCCTACCTTATAATTTGTATGACCCTGGCTTAAAAGACCTTTGACTTGTGACCTGTTTTTCGAGACCATGTTTGGCCGGAATCGCGTTTTGGCGTGTTTCGAGTAGAGCGCGTTTTATTGTCTTTTTGTGGCTTTAAGCGATCAAACATGTGAAAGGATGTTGATCCCATGGATTCTAGTGGGTATCAAGGTCACGTGAAGGTCAGTCAGGTCACTGACCTTTGATGACCTTTGTTCACTCTTTCGAGTTCTACATGTTTCTGGGGTAGATTTTGGAGTTGATTTCGCATTTAGAAACCGTTTGAACATTTAAGAAGTAGTTTTGGTTCCCTCGTAACATGTGACCTGACCTGACCTGACCTGACCTGGCCTAAATGCACGAAAACATCATCTGCGATCAAAAATAACTTGAAATTTGTGATCAGCACCCCGCAAAACCCTATAACAGCTTCACTTTACGAAGCTCTAACAGGTCCCGATTCCCCGACTTTTGAGTTGTTGAACTGTCAACTTTGACAACTTTGTCAACTTAGACTTTTGACCTGTCAACCAATGACCTAGGATATTAAAATTGGGTATCATCGGCCTCCTCTCGTCACGGGCAACACGCACTTTTTCCGCGAAGCTCTAGCTCGATCAGGAGTTGAACGGCAAAGGGGTCCAACGGACCCTCCTCCCCCCTTTACGATAGACGCTGGCAAAACACCAATATGGGCGAGGGTGAAAATACAGCTGCTGTCATAAAAATTCGGCTTGAATCAAAGGTTTCAGCTTGAATCAAAGGCTTGCCAAATTTCAGCTCTCGCAGCTATCAACAAAAATAAATATGTGGAGGCGGCACCCGCCTCCCCCCCCCTCTCGGCCACTGCCAGCGAGGTTTTAAGCGTATCATTGACGTTAGAAAGCATCATATCAAGATGACACACCCCAGCAGCCATATGCACTGAACAAAAACTTATTACGCACGCTAGTCTATCGGCACCATAGCACATGGTCGAGACTGTCGTCAGCCACGGACGCGCACTCGACCAACCCTCTGAGCCCGTTGACTGTGGGTGACCTTGACATGTCAAGCCTGATCGGCGCACAGTGGGCCGATATGCCATTCTAGCGCGACGGGGCCTGAATCTTCGAACGGAACCCTTGATTTTTCGCGAGTAATTCGCGTAAAAGCGGCCGATCGCAACGAAACTTTCAGTGCCCTCGCGATAACTACTTTTACGGTTAACCTGAAAATTTCATGACCCTGACCTTAATGATCTTTGACCTGTGACCTTCTTTCGAGACCATGTTTGACCGGAATCGCGATTCAGCGTATGTCGGCTCGCATTAGCCGCGGGTTTGCAGTCTTTTCTTGGTTTAAAGCGTTCAAACATGGGATATTATGTTGCTCCCATGCATTAGGGTGGGTGTCAAGGTCACCAGAAGGTCAGGTAAGGTCATTGACCTTTAATGACCTTGGCTCACTTTTTCGAGTTTTACATGTTTCTAGGCTAGTTTTTGGAGCTGAATTCGAATCTAGCAACCATTTGAACATTTACTATGTAGCTTTGATGCCTTCGTAACATGTTACAAAGCTGCCTGAGGCGGTTGCCACCTACTGCAAATACCCGGCAAAACCCTTACTGGTTGACCTGACCTGACCTGACCCGACCTGGCCTAAATGTATGAAGACATCATCTATGATCGTAAATAACATAATATTCGTGATCAGCACCCAAAAAACCCATAGCAGCCACCCTTTACGACGTTCTGACAGGTCCCGATTTTCCCGAATTTTGGGTCATTGACCTGACCTGGAAGGTCAACCGATGACCTAGGACCTTACAATTGGGTATCATCAGCTTCCTCTTGTCACGGGCAACACGCTCGTCTTTTCCGCGAAGCTCTAGCTCGATCAGGGGCGAAACGGCGGGGGGGGGTCCAACGGACCCCTTCTATACGTTCGCGGCTGGAAAAACACCACTAGGGGCGAGGGATAGGCCAAATGTGAGGGCTTATTTCAGAAAGACCGCTAACTTCATGATGATCGAGTTCCAATTCTTCGTACAATTCACAATGTTTGCCTCCGATACGGCCCCAAACCACGTCTGTTCCGGACGTTCCGGATGCGTTTTCCGCAGAAAAGTTCAACGCGTCGGACATCACTCTTCCGTCTCCGTAGCAACCGCATCCGAAACGCATGCGGAGAGCTGACGGAAAATCAACAGCTGATTGCCGTTCGGATGCGGTCCGGACGGAGCGCACACGATTTCCGTACGGACCGGATGCGCCCATAGGGTTCTGTGTTAAATTCCGTACGGACCGCACGCGTTCCGCACAGTGGACGGCGGCCTTAAAAGAGCAATTGAATGCACTTTTCCGCGACGATGTAGCTCTATTGGTCCCCGAGGTAAGGGCCGGTTTTCGAGAAACGTTGATATATGCAACATTTTACCTTTGATGACCTCTGGTGACGTGACCTTTGACCTGACCTAGAAATGACTAATTACTCCATCTGGAATTTCGGGCGCTCTTTCGAATGCCACTTACTACGTGTCGCTATGTGGCCCAAGAGCCGAGTTAGAAGGGGAGTGTTCAATCAACATCTCCCGGCCCGGCGCGTTTGACGCCGAGCACCGGTCCGGCGCGGGTTGATGTTTGGCTGCTACATCCAAAGTCGCAAAAAGTCGCAAAAAATGACTGTTGGATCTTGTAGTGCAATGAATCATTGATATGTAGCGAGATTTTCGAAGCGGTACTCCGCGGTACTTTTTTAAAAGTCTATTTGTGTGTGACATCAATTATGTGAAATTGTATTTTCGTCTTTAAATCTTTGCGGTGCCAATACATCATAACCAAGTAAAAGTTCGCCATTTTCATGTGGTTATGTGTGTTCTGCAGACCCGGAGCTATCGTTTGATGTATATAAATGTGGAATTCCTCCTCAAATTGTGATTGTTTTCGTGGATCAAAGATACGTTGTCGAAGAGTGCGGGGGACGAGTTCGGTCCAAACGATTCCGAAGTTCGTGTTTAAGCTGAGTTTTCGCCATGAAATAGCAATTGTGTTGGAAAACAAAGACCACAGCAATGTAGCATGATCATTTTTGAACAAATTGGTATAGGTTTCATTGCACATCCACAAAGTTCGATTTTTTACCCATGTCGTGCTAGACCTGGCGATCGGCCCAGTGTGCGGCGGCCGGCCGCTGTCGTGCGGTCGTTACACGCGGAGGGGAGGGAGACACAAAGCTCTACGTTATAGCCGACCTCTGACCTTTCCCTGCGCCCTAGTCACTGACCCCGCTCCATGTCGCTGGGCGGTGGCATGGCGGTGGAAACCGGTTCTAGCCTCTACCAATGCCACCATTCTAACCCTCCCCTCCCCACGCTACTACGCGGCGTGGAGTACGCTCGTGCGTAACTGGGCGGAGCAATGGGTCACGCGATACAGGGGCGGAACTGGTTGCCCTCCCGCCCGCCGAGCGACCAACGACTAATACCCTGGAGAACCGTACATGTTTATTTCTACTGGTTGAGTGCTGTCAGCTGTGCCATTTTTAGTTAGTGCGTACCTAGTTTGGCACTTCTGTGCATGTCTGACAGTCTCTGTAATCATCAGGTGATGTGTGGCTGAGATGCGCCTGAATGGTGCACCAGTCGGACAGCATGCAGTGCCGCAGGGTGCGCTCGATGCTGCAGCTGTTCCTGCTTGCCACGCTGGTGTTCACTGTTGTGTACCTGCTCAACAGCAGCCAGCCCAGCATCCACACCCTCGTCTCCGAGACACACAGACAGCTCAACAGCCTCAAACACATCAACCTCAAGGTAGGTATGCACCTGGCAAAAATCAATTTTTTTTAATTATTTCAAATGTTTTAGATAAAGAGGTTGACTCTTAGAGCTTGTGCTAAGCAGAATGAGTTCAGCAGTTCTGAGCATTCATGATCTTATTAAGGTATTTGGGGGATGTTGGATCTGGAAGGATTTTGAAATGGATGTGAAACATGCCCACATAGCCTACTATTCAAAGTACCATGGCTAATAACATGGTGTGTCCCACTCACCAACTTCAATTGACTGGTTATCCCTGCCAGCTGTAGACCATTTCCTTCTATATTTTGAGCATGTCAGAGCTGTTCAGCCTACTCTACCCACTTGGAGTCTAAAAGTCTATAGATAGAAGTACTGGAAGGGTAGTATGTTTAGCATGGTTTGTGAATACAAAGTTATTGTCAAAAGTCAAATACTTTATATCAGTAAATATTATTGTTTATTTATTCAATATAAATACTGATTCTTATCTGACATTTTAACATCTGAAATAAAACATGGTCGAGTTTTGTTTTTGGAACAGAATTATCAACATTAAAAGAGCAAAAGTGATGGAATTAGTTTTTTAACGATGTCAATAATTTGTCTATTTTTAATGATAGCCGGTGTATAATCAAGATATTTTACGTTGAGCACTGTTAGGTAAGTGAATTGAGCATTCCTTTTTGTTTTATGAGCATTATCAAAATTTTACATTCTTTCATTTCATGCAGTCAGGATTATTTCCCGTTTGAATGGCCATTGTCGGGAGCATGTGTTACTTGTTACGTTTAGCACAGTGCACCGGCTGCTGCACATTTAGCGACCCGTTCTCGACAGCTGGTGACTGGCCTCCGACCCCTGACTCTCCTCAGCTGCTACCAATGCTACCGTGTCTATAAACACCTGTGCGGTGCACTCGTGTGCGCCCCAGCGGTGTTTTGATGTGTATCGATCACGAGCCAGCGTGCGTTAACACCCGCAAATCGACTAGACGTGTCCTGCTGCCTGCAAATAGTGGCCTCGAACGAATCAAAAACAGTTTTTCTTTATTTCGTCGTTTTTGGGTCAGATAAAAGGGATGGATGACATATTTTGTAATACGTCCGTTGCCGTGCATCTTATTAGTGTATTCGAAGTAGCCCTTTACTCCCAGCAACTCCCTTGATTCTGCGAGCGAAGACAGCGATCCAAGTTCGCCTGATCTGAGTGGCTCTGAGCGTTGACGTGGTTCCGCAGCGTCAGCGTGGCGGCTGACCACATTGCTCGCCGACAGGAGGCGTTGCATTACGATTAACGACTTGGGGTGTTATTGACACCGTTATTCCGTCAGCAGGCGTTACATTACGCCGATTAACGACTGGAGGTGTTAACGATACCGTTATTCCGACAGGAGTCGTTACATTACGCCGATTAACGACTGGAGGTGTTCACGACACCATTATTCCGTCAGGAGTCGTTACATTACGCCGAGGAGCGGCTGAAGGTGGACAGCAAGTACCTGACGGCGCTGGGCTTCACCAGCTCGCCACGCGTCTTCCCGAACCACACCTGGACCAACGTGACGCTGCCCGTCATCGTAACGGCCGTGAGTGACAGGCGGGCTCCGTAACGGTCAGTGGCGGCCGTGAATGGCGAACCGGCCGGGCGTGAGGGGTCGTATGGTCACAACCCTGGGCACACATGGGGTGGTGTAACCTGTGATGGATGAGGCGATGCGGTGTGAGCTGTGACTGTTACCTGGGTAGGGACCACTGGACGTGTGACGCTACCGTGAACCCCTATCCCCTCGGACCGGCTCGGGCAGGGTGAGCGGGCCTGGTGTTATTCCCTGGTCCGGTATAAATGTGCCCACTGCCCCGCCCCACCATATCCCCTTCAGGCCGGCTCGGACAGGGCGACGGGCCTGGTACTACACCCTGGTTAATGTGCCCCACTATATCCCTCAGACCGACTCACCTCAGGGTGAGCGGGTGACGGGCCTGCTGTAACTGACCCCCCCCCCCCCTCCCCCTCAGGCGGCCTCTGGTCAGGGTGAGCAGGTGGCGGGTCTGCTGTAACTGACCTCCCCCCCCCCCCCTCAGGCGGCCTCTGGTCAGGGTGAGCAGGTGACGGATTCGATTTTACTGACCCCCCCCCCCCCCAGGCCGGCCTCCGGTCAGGGTGAGCAGGTGACGGGTCTGCTGTAACTGACCTCTCCCCCCCCCTCAGGCGGCCTCTGGTCAGGGTGAGCAGGTGGCGGGTCTGCTGTAACTGACCTCCCCCCCCCCCCCCCCCAGGCGGCCTCCGGTCAGGGTGAGCAGGTGACGGGCCTGGTGCTGTCGGCACGCCGCCACCAGTCACAGCTGCCGGTGGTCGTGTTCGACCTCGGTCTGGGCCGCTACGAGCGGCAGCAGCTGGAGGCCAGCTGTAACAGCTCCATGTGCTGGCTGCAGCAGCTCGAGTACGCCTCCTACCCGGCCCACCTGGACGAGCTGCGCACGCGCGCCTTCGTGCCCGTCGTTATACAGGTGAGGCGGCCGGAGATAGAGGGGACGGAGTAGCGGCCACGGCCGAACGGACGTATTAGCAGAGGCTCATGATGGTAACAAGCCGACTGCTTCTGACTGCCAGGAGCCGCTAGTTTGGAATGCAGCGCCACTATTGAAATGCTGCAATAAATTGGCTGACGGTAAAATTTTCATCTTACGTGCTAGCTTTGGCTTTCTTAAATTAGCGTTCAGAAAAAGTAGTGAGACAGTCGAACTGCTTAGAACGTTTATTTGCATCTTTTTTCTCGTAAACTTACTACTTTCCTGCTCTTTCCACATATTTGATTGACAGCCCTTTATACTCTCTTGACATGAATTTGGTTGTTTTTTTTTCTTCTTGCAATTAATTTCCCGTCTACGTAGGTCGTATTTTCATAGTCACCGTTTTCAATGAATAGAAACTGTTATGGAACGTGGTCCAGGTAATTCCTCGGGTATTGTCGGCGCGGTACTTTTTAAAGTACACCCCGTTCAGGTTGGACTGGAGGCATTTCTCGTGGTACCACCATCCGCCGCGGTGCGACCGGGCGCAGTTGCCGGCGTACGGGTCGTGGTCCCTGTCGTAGGTGGTGAACCGCTGGCCCGAGTGGGCGCTCAGGCTGTCGCCGGCGTCTCCGCTGTAGTTGGACACGTGCAGCCGGTAGCCGTCACTCTCGGGCGCGATGCTGAACTGCCCGTATACGGCGTGTCGGCGCCGGCCCTCAAAGTCCTCCAGGTTGACGCGCAGCTCGTAGCTGCGGTCGGTGGCCGCGGTCAGTGCCGACATCTTGTCGAGTCCCCACCAGAACTCGCCGTCCAGCCGGCCGAAGCCGGCCCGGTAGGCGGTCCAGTTGCGGTAGAAGTTCTGGCGGGGTTCGATGTCGTCCCGGCGCTGGATGACCGTCCACCGTCCGCCGTCCGTGTCCAGGTCGCAGAGGGCGGCCACCTTCTGCGGCCCTGCCAGGCCGGTCTGCAGCAGGTGGACGCCGCTGCGGGCGCCGGCCGGCAGGTCGCTGCAGTCGCGCACCGCCCCCGGCCGGCGGCTGGGCAGCGGCGCGCCGGCCTCCTCCGCTAAATGTTTCTCCAGGATATCTGAGGTCACCTGGAGCTGCTGGGAGAGGCTGATCACATTGTCTGACAGCACCCTGACCTTGAGGTCGTACGGCTTAAATTCGTGCTTTATTTGATCCAGGTCACTGGATATCTTCTGCATCTCATCACGATCATCTTTCAGCTCGCCATCCAGATTGATCAAGTGGGAGGTGATCTTTTTCAGCTGCTCACTATGTGACTGAATTTGATGTTCCAAAAGATCTAAGCGGTCAGCTGTGTCGTCATGCACTTGTGAGCCGCTCTGAGGGTGGCTACTCTGGGAGTGGCTGCTCTGGGAATCACTTCCAGGGCTTCCGTGACTTAATTCATCGGACAATATCTGTATCTCTTTCGAAATATCTTCAAAGCTGGTCTCGAGCCGAATTAAGTTGTGGTTGATGTCCTCTATTTGTTCGTCTTTTTGCTGAAAATCTGTCCGCACTGATTTAGACATACGGCTAAGGTAATCATCGATATATCTAACTTGCTCCGATGTCGGCCATATTTCTTCTGTATAAATGTCTTCCAGAAGAGTGTGAAGTTTTTGGATATTTGCCTTTTGCTTTTTCGTTTTATGAATATGCTCACGCAGCCGATGTGCCAGTTCTTCTACATCAGACGATAATTCATTGGTCTTGCTGTGCTGCTCTGTTATTGCGTTGTAGAGGTCATGAATGTTCGTTTGTGTAAAATAGCTGATGTCGTCCACGTCGTCCATGAAATAGTCGCTGATGGTGTGTGCCTCGGTCTTGGCAGCAGTTTGTGCTGGAGCGAACTGCTCAGCTTCAGAGTAGTCGCAGTTCACAATACCGAGACTGAGAGCCAGAAGAACGACGGCGGATACCCGCACTACTTGACACCCGTGACACATCGTGTTGGCTGATGTTTCGCCAAAGTGGTAGAACTACCGTCCGGAGGACTACGTTGGGCTGCTGATTGACAATCTACATTTCTTTATTTCATGACACACTGATTTAAATAGATGTATGCGTATGTTTTATGTGTGTCGTACTTTTGGATGAGACTGTTATTCACCCTAATTTGTTGCCGAACTAAAAAAAAAACTAGAAAAGTTGTATAATGATGAAACAAATTACTAAGCCATGCCCATGAGCAATAACAAAATATTTAAGATTTTTTCGTGGCATTCTTCGCATTCTTTTTTCATTTCATTGTGTTCACGTGCTTCACGTTAGTATCACCTTCCCGCCGAAATATCAAACACCTGCATTCAGTGGCACCAGCGGCTTATGGCGCCAATGAGAGCTGCGCCACCTCATCAGAAGAAAACAACAGTGCTGAAAATAAAATATATTTTTTTTCACTGATAATTTCATAATTCAGATTCATGCATTCAATCAAGCCTTGTCACTAGTTCTGCTGGTCGTTTTGGCTAGGTGTTTTTCAAGTTTTTGTGAAGTGAACTGCAGGTCGTTAGAAAGTTTGATGACGTGCTCTGACAGTGCACTGATTTTCATACCTTGGTGCTGAATGTCGTATTTCATGCGATCCACATCACTTGATGTTTGTCGCATCTGGTCGCGATTGTCTTTGAACTTGCCGTCCACGTGGTTCAAATGGTTGGTTATCTTTTTCAGCTGCTTGCTGTTTGATTGAAGTTTCTGTTCTAAAAGATCTAAGCGGTCAGCTGTGTCGTCGTGCACTTGTGAGCCGGTCTGGGAGTGGCCGCTCTGGGAGTGGCCGCTCTGGGAGTGGCTGCCCTGGGAGTGGCTGCCCTGGGAGTGGCTACTCTGGGAGTGGCTACTCTGGGAGTGGCTACTCTGGGAGTGACTGCTCTGGGAGTGGCTACTCTGGAAGTAACTTCCGATGTTTTTGTGACTTACTTCATCGGATAATTTTTGTATCTCTTTCGAAATATCTCCAAAACCGGTTTCGAGTCTAAACAAGTTGTGATAGATGTCGTTTATTTGTTCGTCTTTTTGCTGAAAATCTGTATGCAGTGAATCAGACACACGACCAAGATAATCGTCGATGTATCTTACTTGTTCGTAGGTCGGCCGTATTTCTTCTGTATAAATGTCTTCAAGAAGGCTATAAAGTTCTCTGATATGTTCCTTTTGGTTTTTCGCTCTGCGGGCATGCTCGCGCAGCCGATGTGCCAGTTCTTCTACCTCAGACGATAGCTGGTGGGTCTTGCTGTCCTGTTCTGTCATTGCGTTCAAGAGGTCATCCATGTTCCTTGGTTCGAAGTGTGATATCGGATGTCGCTCGTCGTCCATGAAGTCGCCCATGCTGATCAGTGTCCCGGACATGGCCGACGTTTTTGATGGGGTAAATTGCTCAGCTTCTGCATTTTTGCAGTTCACAACCTTAAGACCAATAGCTAATAGAACGACATCGAATACCCGCACTAAGCACCGGTGCCGCATTTTATTAGCTTATATTTCGTGAAGGTAGTAGGGAAATATAGTGATTATCGAACACTCAAACTGTGTTGATGGCTGACACTTTTGGCTTTTCACTGACTATAATTTTACGTTTCTCTTAATCAATAATCACACAAAAGAAAACTAAAGAAAGGCCTGGAATTGGCATTTCGGTGGGCAAAAATTTTATGTTATTTGTTTTGCTTGGTGGTTTTCGTGCGTGCGTATTTCAGGCTTACTCACGTGCATCAGGTAAAATATCACCTTTCTGCCGAATATTGCAACACCTGTGTTCAACGGCACTTCGAGGCAAGATAACTACATAGAACAAGCTTCGAGGTGCCGATAAAAGCTTCATTTCACGGCACTGCTGATTGCTGAATCAGGTGTTCTCATTTTTTTACGATGTTATCATCTATTTTGGTCAGCGGACGCATCTTGTATTTAGTTTCAGTACAGATTGGTTACATTTCTGTTGCACATTGTTGGTTTTGTGTATCCGGTTTTAGTATATTTTTATTTTCATGCATACTTGCATCATCGTTTATTTTGAATAATGCTCGTAGTCACACAGTTGCACGAATCACCTCTATGGCTCATTTAGATCGCACTGTGTTTGTCGGATTTTAGCATAATGTGTCTGTCAGACTGTCAATGTGTTCGTGGACGGCTCACCGCTCCGTGGACCGCCGGCCAACTCTGACTGTCCGCGGGGCCCTATCCTGACAGTCCCACCGGCCAGCTCTGACTGTCCGCGGGGCCCTGTCCTGCCTGTCCCGCCGGCCAGCTCTGGCCGTCTCCGGGGCCCTGTCCTGCCTGTCCCGCCGGCCAGCTCTGACTGTCCGCGGGGCCCTGTCCTGACAGTCCCACCGGCCAGTTCTGACTGTCCGCGGGGCCCTGTCCTGCCTGTCCCGCCGGCCAACTCTGTCCTCGGGCCCTATCCTGCCTGTCCCGCCGGCCAAGTTTGACCGTCTCCGGGGCCCTATCCTGACAGTCCCACCGGCCAGCTCTGGCCGTCTCCGGGGCCCTGTCCTGACAGTCCCACCGGCCAGCTCTGACTGTCCGCGGGGCCCTGTCCTGACAGTCCCACCGGCCAGCTCTGGCCGTCTCCGGGGCCCTGTCCTGACAGTCCCACCGGCCAGCTCTGACTGTCCGCGGGGCCCTATTCTGACAGTCCCGGCTAGTTCTGACTGCGGGGCTGTATCCTGCCTGTCCCGGCCAGCTCTAACTGCGGCCGTCTCCGCCGGCAGGAGGTGCTGAACAAGGCCGGCGCCGTGCTCTGGCTGGACGCCAGCCGCCGGCTGGTGCCGCACAGCAGCGCGCGCCTGCTGAAAAAGGCGCGTCAGCTGGGCGTGCTGGCCTGGCGGCTGGACCTGCAGCTGGACGAGCAGCTGGCGGCCGTGCCCACCACCGCCTTCACACACTACAAAATGTTCGATTACTTCGACGCCAATATCGAGCACTTCTACTTCCACAAGATGGTCTCCGACGAGTGAGTAACCGGCTGGAAATATATTATTATTTCTTAAATTTCTCGATGTTTGACATGTGTCACCGGCTCGCCGCTGGTTCGTATGCAGCTGACCTCTCATTCCAACCACCGGGTCTGACCACTTCCAGCTCCATCTGACCACGGACTGCCCAAGTTATTAGACCGTTTGGTTTGACCTCTCCGTATGACTGCGACTCTATCCAGTGACCGCTTCCTATAACCGCGCCTCCTTCCGTCAGGGCGCTGCTGATTTACAACACGCCGGCGGTGCACCGGCAGCTGATGCTGCCCTGGCTGCGCTGCGCCCTGCTGCCCGAGTGTGTGGCGCCCACCGGCGCCCAGGCCGGCGGCTGCCGCTTCAACAAGAAGCCGCACTACAGATACTCGGGCTGCCACGGCTACGACACGAGCGCCCTGAACGTGGCGCTCGGCCTCATGTTCCGGCCCGACCGGACGCCCTACATCGAGACGGAGCGGCTGGAGCGTGCCGAGGAGCCCGACGGAGGGCTGGGCGGCGACAACAGCACGGCGGCGGCGCTCTGAGGGAGAGGGGGAGAGGGAGCGGCGGCGGGAGCTCCGTCTGTGACATCACTAGTCCGGGGAGAGGGGGGGGTGAACAAAGGCTCACCGTGTGGCGCCCGTCTGAACGCTGTGCGGGGCTCAGATATGCATGCTGTATGTGTGTGTTCGTGAATGGAGCGTTAGGCGATCAGGGCGTGCGGCGGTCCTGCGCCCGCAGCTGTGGACGTTTGTCCGCAGATGGCAGCACGTTCGCGCTGCCAGGTGGCGGGCCGCGCCGGTGGCAGATCTGGGCCGGCCGCCCGCATCGGGCGGTCGTTGCTGCGTCGCCCGTTCGTGATGGCCCGGTTGTGATTTGATTTCGAGTCGTGCTTTGTACGTATGTGTCGCTGGTAGGGACTGAATCCACTGCTGGCCGCGGCGGCTGAGTGGTCCCGTTTCTTCTGATACTCGCAATGTCGCCCCTTTTCTCAACATGACGTCCGCGGCTGTAGGCATTGCTGTACGGACGTGTTTTCTCTGTGTGTAGTAATCGTGTGATTCCAGGCGTTCTGCTGTAGCCAAGACCGTCTCTGTGTATCCATACTGCCCGCCAATCGAATTTTATTGTACTCTGAGAGGTTTGAGACTCCGTTTTGGTGTGATGTGGCCGACAATAGGCCTCGGGTCGAGTCGGTTCACTGACAGGCGACCCTCGGCAGCGCTTTCTGTGCCGGATGTCTTGCCAAAGGCGTCCGGCCGCTGGTGCATCTCTGTGCTGTTGGTTCGATTCAGTTGTCTCAGGTCTGGCCGCAGTGTAGGCGCGCGCCTCCCGTGACGGGTGTGTCGGTCGATCCTCGTATACACGTGTGAATCAGACGTCCGTCCGTCTCTGCACATCTGTGGGCGGGCAGGAGGGGAGATATGACGGGCGGCGCGGCACGTGGTTTATGGCCGCCGGCAGTAATTGCCAAATATGGGAGGAGGGAAATGAGACGGCTTTATTGGGCGGTACTCCGGACTGAAGCCACTAATTGTGAGGACGGAACGACTCGCGATCAAAGTCACGGGGATTGGGTGCGTCCGAACCGGCCGTGCTCGGTTTGGTAGCGGAGGTTTCATCCGATACCCCGCGAGTAGGCGCGACAGAAATCCGATAACACCTCTCGCCCATGGCCGGACCATCACTCTCCCGTGCCCGCTCTGTACCACCAGTTGCCCACGCACCCTCCCTCCCCCTCCCCCTCCCTCTGTCGGCGTCTCGGGCCGGTGAGTTATGATCTGCTCCCGTCCGCTCGGACCGCCGCTCCGCCGCCTGGACGGCCTGGTTTATATCGGTGCCCCTCCCCTCCCCTGCGGCGGCCATTTTGTCCGCCTGCTGTGACCGGCGGCCGGTCGGGTCGGCCGGGGCGCCGGTCAGCCTGGGTCAGGTGCGGCCCGCCGCGGGCGTCTGCCCCGTCCACTGGCTTCAGGGCCGGCGCCGGACGCTGGATCGATGGCCGCCGCCCAGCCCGGCCGGTCGGTCCGACGGACCAGCACGGCGCGACGACAGGAATGCGGGCGCACCAGCGATAGCGACCGACGCACCTACCCAAACACCTGCCGCCGGACTGTGTTTGCAGGGGAGGTTTCCATGGGGAGAGCGGCATCTTCTGGGTATCGCTCGCGTCAAAGGTGGCTCATTGAATTTTTAATGACATTGGTTTGCCCACCACTCATCACTACACCTTCTTGTACTTACCACTGCATGCTATGTCAAAGCATGTCAGAGACGAACATAAGACTACGACACTGCGGAGTAAGGTCTGAACATTTATTTACTTTTTGCCAGTTTTGCTTGTCTGGGCAGTGACAAGGCCGTTGAGTGGTCTGACCCAAAGAATTATGTTCTAAATAGCCGGCTGGGCAGAAATGAAGGGTCGGACAGGCGTGCTCTCTGGCCGTCTCCATGCAGTCGGCCGAATGCAGGCCGGCGGCTGCAGCGGGCCGCCGCCTTACGAGCGAGCGGCACGGCGGCACGGCCGGCCGCAGGTCGATGGCGCCATGGTCAGACGGCGTCATCGCGACAGCGCCCGGCGGAGGCGACGGCTGACCCCTCGCCGACACCATGCGACCGAAAACGTACACAGCGTGGAAACGGGAGGAGCGTCCCTCCCCATCTATAGTCCTTCACACCATATACCATTCGGTTTTCATTGGTGGGTTTCAGGGATTGATGATTTGACCACGGACATGCCACATGAAAAGTCTGTTGAGTTATGAGCTACAGTAGCTTTTTATCCAAAGCAATATATCAAAATATTTATCAACTTCGTTTTCTCCTTGTCAGATTCAATGCCACAGTGCATTGAATCCTTGAATTGGTCATCCTTGCTGAAAGGGAAAGGAAGTTTTTTTTAGAATATGGTAGCACTGCAGGTAATTTGGTAGCGACGACAAACGCAACACGTTTTTGGCGCAAAACAATTTTGAGCATTCCACGGAGCATTCTGAACATTTGAATTGAAAATGTCTGTAAATATGGTCATGATTTGTCCGTTTTGTCAGATATTTACGGAATAAAAAGTGTTGGATATGTGTCAAGACTCTATACCAACATAAGAGCATACATTCATTGTACATGAGGAACTCTCAGTTTTTGTCTCAAATGACAATTGTTGCTCTTGTGACTCACCTGAAGCTTTCTGAGTTCTCTATATACCGTGCTGCCGGCTCTGGCTTTCCTGCGAAACTACACGGTAAATACGAGGCCTAAAATGGTTAAATATGTACGTTAATGAATTATCTATATTGCGAAGATAGTGATAGCAAAATGATTGGTGACGCCATGCACTCGTCGGTGTGCATTGTGATACAGGTAATCAGAAGGTGAAGTCGAGTTTAAACTTGGGCTCCCTAGGTATTCACCTCATCGTGAAGCTCATTACCATGAAGGTGTGTATGTGAAGTAATGCCCAAATTACACATGATCTCCGATCACAGATGAAGGTTTCCTTCTTTTCAGAAGTTTCATGTTCAACATAAATTGGTAGGCACACTCAAGCCGCATCCGCGTTTTTCTCCTGAACTGAAACAAGCCACGCCTTTAGATGCCTTTTCCTCTATCAGCGCCACGATTTTTATCCCACTGATGTCCCGTGTCCTGTCCTTTAGGGCGTCCCGTCAGCGATGGTGTTGGTGAAGCATCCAGTGTCCAGTTTCCGAGCGACCCAGCGCGGCTGCTGAGTGACACTGAACCGTACTGAACGACTCAGCCGACTCGTGACTGCGCGGCTGCCGCTGCTGGTCCGCCATTCCATGATCCTCCGAGATACCGGGAATCCGCCGATCGTCATCGGTGAGGTGAGTTAGTATGCATATATGATATGCGTGCCGTTCGTGTTGTGTGGTATAATCCATCTACAACTGTCCACGCAGAAACACTATGCTTTCAACAGCACTTCAAAAACAATTCATCATCGATGAAAGGTGGGTGGCTGATAGCACAACTCTTAGTTCCTCATTTGAACAAAAATGATTGAAACCTAGTTCAATGAACAAAGTTTGTAACGGTGACCGAAATGGGAGCGCTTTGTCAAAGTCCGAGGTTTTACGAAGTTGCCATTTGCTACCCATCTTTCAATGTTTATTCAATCAACTAAGAATTGTCTGGAAGCAATGCGCAGTTTGTAGCCGTATTGTGATTTTCCTTTGAAATCCGAGAAAAGTGGTGTCGCAACGTAACTGCGTCTGAAGAATGTCCCAACCAGACTTGTGACAGCTCAAGAAAAAAGTGAGCTCGCTCAGCTCAACTCCGTTTTATCCGCTCCCGCTCAGCTCCCGCTCAGTTTAACACGGCTCAGCTCAGCTCACGCTCCGCTCAAACCGGCTGTGCTCCGCTCACGCTCAGCTCAGCTCAGCTCAGTTTCCGCTCAGCTCAGCTCAGCTCAGTTTCCGCTCAGCTCAGCTCATCTCAGTTTCCGCTCAGCTCAGCTCAGCTCAGTTTCCGCTCAGCTCAGCTCAACTCAGTTTCCGCTCAGCTCAGCTCAGTTTCCGCTCAGCTCAGCTCAGTTTCCGCTCAGCTCAGCTCAGCTCAGTTTCCGCTCAGCTCAGCTCAGCTCAACTCAGTTCCCGTTCAGCTCAGCTCAGTTTCCGCTCAATTCAGCTCAGCTCAGTTTCCGCTCAGTTAAATTCACGCTTAGATCGTTCAGTCGTTCTTTTTAAATCGGACATGCTTAACCCTCGCCCGTATAGGGGGGGGGGGGGTCGAACGGACCCCCCTCTGTTTTTCGCGAATAACTCGCGTAAAAAGCGGCCGATCGCGACGAAACTTTCAGTACCCTCGCGATAATCAATTTTACACCTATCCTGAAAATTTCATGACCCTGACCCTAATGACCTTTGACCTGTGACCTACTTTTCGAGACCATGTTTGGCCGGAATCGCGATTCGGCGTATGTCGGCTCGCATTAGCCGCGCGTTAGCAGTCTTTTTGTGGTTTCAAGCGTTCAAACATGGGATATGATGTTGCTCCCATGCATTAGGGTGGGTGTCAAGGTCACCGGAAGGTCAGGTCAGGTCATTGACCTTTGATGACCTCGGTTCACTTTTTCGAGTTTTACATGTTTCTAGGCTAGTTTTTGGAGCTGAATTCGAATTTAGCAACCATTTGAACATTTACGAAGCAGTTTTGGTGCCTTCGTAACATGTTACGAAGCTGTCAGAGGCTACTACGAATACCCGGCAAAATCCTTACTGGTTGACCTGACCTGACCCGACCTGGCCTCAATGCATAAAGACATCATCAGTGATCATAACTAACATGATATTCGTGATCAGCACCCCGAAAAAACCCCATAGCAGCCACGTTTTACGACGTTCTAACAGGTCCCGATTTTCCCGACTTTTGGGTCATTGACCTGACCTGGAAGGTCAACCGATAACCTAGGACCTTAAAATTGGGTATCATCGGCTTCCTCTCGTCGCGGGCAGCACGCTCGTTTTTTCCGCGAAGCTCTAGCTCGATCAGGGGCGAAACGGCAAGGGGGGGGGGGTCCAACGGAACCCCCCCCCCCCTATACGTTCGTGGCTGGAAAAACACCAATACGGGCGAGGGTTAAAAAACAGACCAACTCTTGGCACATAAGTAAGTCTCCTCTAACAAGGAGCGAGGCAACTTACACAATGGGCAAAAGACTGCTCATTAAGACCTTGAGACTTTGCGAGTCGTGCGTCTACTTGGACTCAGACTATAGTTAGGTACATGAAATGGACTGTTCTTGGCAGTGTTATTACATGTTATCAGAGTGTGCACCCGCGATGTTAACATAACATATAAGTTCAAAATATACGAACGAAAAAAGTCTGGACGAAAAAGTTTACCGACGAAAAAATGTACAGACGAAAAAGTGCCAGACGAAGAAAAGTCGGACGAAAATCTGCGGACGAAAATCTGCTAGACGAAAAAAACGCCATGGAATCATCTCAACTAGGCGGTGTTTCACGGCCGAGAGCAGCACGCCCACGCCGCCATCCGCTCTTGGCACCCTGCCAGGAGCTGACGTTACATTTTGGGGTAGTGTTGGAACTTGGAGATAAGAGTTTGTTCATATCTCCATGGAAACCCCATTTGACACGTGTGACAGCAGCGTGCTGTTATCAGTGAAACCAACACCACCCTGATCTCAACCAAGGCAATATCAACACAATTAGAATTCATAGTCGGCGTGTGAATAAGGGAGCTTTTCCCATATTATGGACATCAGAAGGTGAGAGTTCCAGTTAGCGCCTCTGCCCCACCCCACTTTCAATAGGATATGGTTGCTTAGCCCACATTCAACCAACGAAGAGGAACATTATTTGCTAATTCCTAACTGTAAATATTTTATGCAGAATTG